ATTTTTTTTGGAAACTCAAAAATTTCCTGTGAAAAAGCTTCAAATTTCGCATTCGCAGTAACGCTTAAACACTATTTTGTTAAAAGGACTCCAAATGTTTCAATGCAAATTGCCAGTTAGAACGGGGTTTTACTCCTCTTTAATATTCTTGAAGTAATATTTCGGTTCTACTATTTGAAAACCGAAAAAAAAAAATAGAAAATGTCAAAACATGTACTTACATGCGTCAACAGACAGAAAATATAAACATAATACGAGAAAGTCTGTGCCATTCTACACCACCACTATTTGGATATGCGTGGAGTCTGCGATAGGTGATATTTTCTTCGATTGGATGAGTTTCTTTTAGTTTGGAGAATTTTCTGAGTTGAAATAACTAATTGTTTGGGAGGAGAATATAGAGAAGAGAGGAAATTCTGTGTCTGGAAATTCTTGGATATTTTTTGTTGGTGGGGCTAATTATTTTTTTCTTTGATTTGTTTATGTAATTTTGATATATAGTATTCACAGTCCCTTAGGAAATTTGGGCATTCGAAAATATCACCGATAATGTTCAGTCGCATCCCCAGTAGAAGTTCTTTAACATATTGTATAGTTGATGACTGCCATTTATGGTCATGTAATCCTTCAGACGAAATATCCGTCAGACTATCACAGGATGAATTGAGTCGTTGTTATATACACATATAAACACATTTCTGATGTAGACACGTATAAATACAAAAACACGTTTCTGCTGTAGAGGGGTGAAATTATGGCAATTAAAAAATGCTTCAAGAAGCCTTTTTTAACAACGGCTTCAAACTTATTATTTTTTATCGAAAACAGCAAGATTTCATAATAATATTTTTGTTTCCTATTTTCATTAATATCTCCCGCCTTTCGAAAATTTCAAAAGTTTTGTTTTTAAAGTTTCAATTTATTTTCGAATGCCCTACACCTTCAACATTGAAGCTCGAGGTTTCATTTTCTATTTAATATATTACTGGATATTAACGCTTGAAATAATTTCATATACTCGTGTTTGAAAATTGTTTTCGCGTAAATTTGAGTTATATGGTGACAAAGTCCAAATGTGTTTTGAACCTGTCTAATTCATTTTCAACATTAAATCTAGATGTTTCTTTCTTATACAATAAATTTTTCCTACTATTATATCTTTAAATTATTTTCTGTTATTTACGTCGAAAAGCACGCGCTTAGTTGCATAGCAACCGATCATCTACACAACAAATTATGAGAGCGTCCATAGCAACGGCCGTTAAAATGCTCGAGTTCATTGAAAAGAGTTTAGCGGACTTTCGGGTTTATATTTTACTAGAGCTCATAATTTTTTGGATAGATAAGTTGTTTACAGTTACAATAGATAAGTGTTTTTTCTAAGGTTATTTTATTCTGTACAATTTTCTCCAAGTATGGTTGATACTCCTCTTCAGTGTCATCAATAGATTCCTCAGGAGAAGTATTCACAATTGGTTTAGTTTCTTCCTCGTCGGTAGAATCGCTATCTAGCGGGTCAAGTGGCTTCGTGGCTTCGATGTCATCAACCTCAAAATGTTCGTCCAAAATTTCAACTATCATTTCGCTCAACAGGAAATCTTCTTGCGTGCTTTCAGGTGAAGCTTTCAGCTGGCGTCTGTTGTACTTCTCAATAACGAGGACATTCACGGGGTTCCCCATTACCTGCATACAAATTTAATATTTTAAAACGCGAACATGGATACATGTAAATAATTAGGTCTATCTGAAATGTGAAAACACGCGTGTGAGTACCAAAAAGTAAAATTCACTTCCTGTTGTGGAGTCGGTGGCGTAGTCAGAAAGATGCAGAACGGGCGGTCCATTTTAGGGATGGTCCTAATTAGAAAATTTTATAGATTTTCCATACATTTTGTATGGATTGTAGATTGTAGCGTACATTGTGATGAAATTATAGCTAACTTTTTTGCCCTTAAATATTGAAATGTGTTTTTTTTAAACATGCATTTGTAATTAGTTATTCATTTTAGATAATTTATTTAAAAATTATATTTCAATTTTTCTGAATTATATATTTTTTAATATATTATAAATAAATGTCCTGTACAAATATACTTGTATTTTATTAAATAATGTGTAAACTATTCAGAAATAGATATTTTCATATTTAATTGGGAGGCAGATGATACCATTCGTTTTGCCCCGGGTGTCACCAACTGAACCGCATCGTGTTCACGCAGTGTGTGGAGCGCATGAACGGACAACACGTGAACACCCGGCTCACCTCGATGTAGTGAATGATGTCACAAGCGCTGTTCTATTATAGTAAGAATGAACGTGTTACACGTATTGCATTATGGTGGGGTTTTCCACAACGAGGTATAACCCCCAGCGGTGCACCGCCCCAGTTGCGACAAGCTTCCGACCGGTCTTCCGGCATGTGTGCTGGTGTAGTGCGTGTTAATGTATGTGTAAGGGGAGAGTATAGGAGAAGCAAGGGGTAGGAAAGATCGCGCGTGGTGCGTGGCTCATTTGGTAAGGTACTGCTCCGGCATTCGCCTGGGCACGCCATTCGAAATAATGGCAACATTAATTAATAATTTAGAGAAACTTTCAGTATATTTCGGCAACTAAAATACTGCTTATGAATACTAAGTGGCCTTATCTATCACTGAAAAAAATTAAGACAGGTTTCGGCCCGACATTACAGACCATTCCCCTTCCCTTGAACACTCCGCAGGTCTAAACATAGAGATGAATTTGCAATAACGCGCCTTAACGTACTTCCTGTGAGAACAGCCAACTTATGAACCAAGAGCGTTGAGAGAGAGTCCATTTAGCCCTCTTGCTAATAACCTATTGACTGCGACCCTCAGAGTATTACCACAGTATTCCTTACACCGTAGTATTACCAGAACGAAGTCCGACCACCCCTTGCCTGATACAGTAGTGTCAAGAGATTCAAGAACTTCTTGTTTCCCTCACCGCGGCCAGGGCGGGCCAGGGTCAGGCTTAATTTACTGTCAAAGGCGTTTTCGTTTTGTAATGGTCTTGTCTTTCGATAGAATTAAATATCACTTCCGTAAACAAAAGTGCACTCAGTGTACTATGAATTCAATGTTTTCTAGTTAAATTAACGGGAGTTTTGTGCAAATAAAAATATAACCTTAAACGTGTAGTCTTGCCAAACGTTTTAATTTTACATTAAAAAGATAGTCTAACAATATGTCAGTATTTATCGTGTTAATAGCGGATGGTATCAGAAACATATGTATACTATTGACCAAAGTATACTATAGTACTTAATAAATTCACTTTCAGGTAGGTCTACTACCAATTCAGTGTCATAAATGTGGCACAAACATTCAGTAATGTCATCATGTATAAGATTAGAGACATTGTAATTGAAATTAATTGCATCTTTTATTATTTTAGTCTTTTAAAAGTGAGTACCTTTTAGTACATCATTAAATAAAATGAGTAATACGAGCAATTTTATATAAATAATTAGGTAGTTAATAGTTACCTACGTTTGCCGTGTGTCTCGATTGTTCGGGAATTGGGTTTCGTAACTCTGGCCTAGTCTCAAGGGTAGCAGTTGGACGCCCGCAATCGGGACGCATGTCCAGATTTTTTGAAATACAGTATCAGCAGCAGTCAAAGATCATTATTTACGAGATTTGACATGACTCATGGACTGGGGTGCCATCTAGCGGCCCATTCACACATCATTTCTAGTTTTTTGATTGCTGTAGGTGAATTTATTTTAAATTTGTTATATATTCGTAATTGATATGAAAGTGTATAAATTAAATTTATTGCAATATGCTTTATGTATTATGCCCACAATAAAACTGAAGCACAATTGCACCTATGGAGCACGTCTTACACCTGTGGGAAGCTCTTGAATTCTTTTTCTTATCAAAAGAAAAGCCATCTAAGAATCTGGTAGAATGTTTCTGTAATTCTCTTCTTGAAGTTTACTTTTGGTATCTCAATCATCAGCTGACTTTATTTTGCACACAACTGAAGAAAATTGAGATAACTGTACAGATCTGAATTGAAGTTCATAACTGAGAATACATTAAGTTAATTACAAAAGAAAGAAATAAGTTGCTACTTGGGCATCAAAAACTGAAGGTTTACAAAATGCGGTATTCATTGCTCTAAACTATGCCTCTCACAGGAATTAATCTTAGCCACCAGTGTACAACAGTCTAAATCATTTTATAAGAGACATGACTACCTATGATATTATTGCAATATTTTTCCAGTGTGTTGAGAATGTATTATATAAGCGAGATTCATTATGCTAATTATACTTTTATAATCTACTTTTACATGTACATGTTGGGGCATAATCAGATTTTCTACCGCCTTATGTACCACCTATACATAAAGTTAATTTGAAATAAACAAAATTATAAATGCATTAAACTAAATCCCCGGCCCTGCGAGGAAAAGATGCATTCAGCCAAGCGTTCTCTTTTGGGGTCTCAACGTAGAAACGGACGAAGGCTTCCCGCCGTCGTCCTTGGCCATCCGCGAGTCCGTCGCCTCAACATCACGATCCAGGCCCGGCCACTCCGCGCGGGCCGTAAAGCAACGCGTCACCCGCTCAAAAAACTCTCTGCGATCTTGGTAGCACGAGAAGTACACCCTCTAATCCAGAGCTGTCCGATCCTTAAGAAAATCACTCAAGTCAATACCGCTGAGGGAAGTTGTTCCAGCAAGCAAGTAAATCGTCAAAATTTGAATTAATTCCTGCGGTCTGATGTCCACCAAATTGATAGTTGGTTTCGATGTTAGTTAGAATTCCTGCAACGGATGCACAAGCAGCAGGGCAGTGGGTGCTTTTGGGACTCGCTACGTGCAGCGTGGCAGCCCCCGAAACGGGAGTACGAGGCGAGTCTGTAGCTGCGTAGTCGCCTCGGAAACATCAAGGAGGGCAAGCGATCGTAAGACAGTCAACGAGCTGAGACGCGCAGTGATGACAAGCGAGTGTACCAGTATGTTTTTCCTACGATGAGCGTCTGCTTTGGTACATCTCTTTGGGAATAAAAAAAAATATTTGTAAAATACCTTCGAATTTTGCATTTACATTACGGCTAAGTTGCCATTTTCTTAAAAACTGCTTCCACTTTTTTTTATCAAACTTGACAATTTGGACGAAGTTTTATTCTTCTTTAATATTCTTAAAGTAATATTTCGGTTCTACAATTAGGAAACCGAGACATTGAGAAAATTTCAAAAAATATATATTTTGGTCGGCGGTAGATAGCAACTGGCAACAGGATGAGGCAGCACCGCAAAGCCATTAGAAAACTAGTAGAGATAGACAGTGCCATTTTGTAGCACCACTAGCTCTAATCAGAGGTATCATCAGCCCCAATAACCTCGGATTGTCGTGACTACTGAACTCCTTCCGAAACACCGAATGAAGGAAACGGGATGGAGTCGGAGTCCGCTGTCTTCATCACCGGATGAAGTGAAACGGGATGAGCTGGGAAGCGATTCCGTACGCCACTGACGCTGTGCGTTTCGTCCAGCCAGCCTGCCGCCCCGGGCCTCGCGCCGCCGCGCCGCTCCACTCCTCTCCGGCGAGCGCGCCGAAGGGTTGGGGGGCGGGGGTGGGGGCGGCCACCACTCCCACCGTCACAGCCAGTGGCCCGGCGGCGCCCGCTCCGCAGCCATCAGGTAGGCAGGGCCGTCCGGCTCCCCCAAGCCTTCTTCATTCGCGCTCGACAGCGACCACGCATGCATTTACGCCAATATTTTATGTGATTTGGGTTAATGTTGTAGTATAGGTTCTGCCTCCTCTGGCGGATTAAGATAGCGTTGAATTTTTGGATAGTTTTCTTTCTACAGAATACGATAGAATAATATACGTAAATTTCTATAGAATAAATCGCATCGGGCAATTTTAAGCCACCAAAACCTACATCTATTTTACTTTTTTATGTGGCCTCCATTTGTTCCACTCCTCTATTTCTTCCGTTTCCTTTGTTATATTTTGCAAATTGCATTTGTTAATAGCCTTTGTTGCTGTTAATGTTTGTTTTATTTCGGAATGATGAATAAATTAAACATTCGTGAGGCTTGTTTATGTTTCAAATGTACGGATATACTTGTTAAATCTTCCAGGTATATTTGTCAAAAATATGCCTCTAAGCATGATTTTGACCCTGAATTACCAAGGTTTAAAAATACTGTTATTTACTTAAATAAACCTTAATATTTGTGTATGAGAGTAAAACGTATGCTTTTCGTTTCAAAAATCTTTCTTTGTTTTTGTGTGTGTGTGTGTGTTTTGGCTTGGCTCAATTATATCGAAATATATAGCAGCCCTTGCAATGGATCTTCTCCTTTAAAGTTTCCAATAAAATGAATGCAGGAAGTTGATCCTGCAAAGTAAAAATTCGAAATATGTTCAGAAATTGGAGAGAATGTTTGCAAACAAGTGGTAAATTTATGTCTCACATTATTTTCATTGGTAACATCGATACTTATTCTATTTTCAAAAGCAGAATTACATTTTTGATTCTTTGTCGCGGTGGTCAGGTGATGTCTCAAGATTTAATATTTCTGGTAATTCTAAAGTTTAGACCAAATTTTAATGTCATCACAATACGACTAACAAGTTGATAGTTTTTAAGACTTCTTCAGAATCTGTTATCAGCATGCTACACTAAAGTGGCCTTGAACAATACAACAATGTCATAAAACAATGTTTCTCTTAAATTTGTACAATATTTGAAGATATAACTATACTTTGTGCTTTAATATTCGGGTAATATTTGACATGTTCTTTGCACTTTTTTCAATTAAACCTGTTTTCCACAAAAGAAAGACAACGAAATATATTTTCATGAATAACATATATTAGTTATAATAATATATATTAGTTATTAATATTTGTTTTCTCAAAAATTCGATCGATTACATAGTAACTATATTATTTAGTTTATGTTTAAGGTTTGGGATAAAAACGAAAATTCGTGGTATGTTGACTTCAAAGATAATTAATTCGTTTCATATTGAAGCTGCAACATATCGTTATTTTCCTCCCTGTAACGAATTACATCTAGAAATTCTGTTTGACATCATTTTGGTCCGTCCCTCAGCTGGGGAAATGGGTGGAGACACAACGATCGATACGGTCCGAAGTCGTTGCTATGGCAACTGCATCGTGGTCTCAGATCTCGTGACCTCTTTCGGCCGTCTGTTGTGGCTGCCCGCCATCAAGGGCTATCTGTTGATTTTGTTTGTGACGATACATGCTGTTTGAATGAGAGACACAAAACATGTTCTTCAATTGATTCTCGATCTTTTTGGGGCAATTTTTTGAGAAAAAACTTTCGTTCGGTTTTTGCAATGACATATTTACACACTTTAAACAGATACCAGTTCGTAAAAAATAGTAATCCTCCTAATTCCTAATAGTAATAGGAATAACTACATTTCTAGGCCCCCTTTTGAATTATTTTTTTATTTACATAAATGCAATACTTAACTAGCGTACGTTCATAAAATACGTAACGCAAATATGGAATTTTTTGAATACCTCCTCTCCCCTGTAACTCCTTGGTACCGGTTAACCCCACTAAAAATTACCAACTCTTGCGCCAAGCCCTATTTATAAATAATGAAAAAACATTATACAACTGAACAGATAATTTGTATTACTTTTATTTGGTTATAATCACATATTAAAACTAGTGTCCTGCAGCAGCAAAAATGCTGTTTAACAAAGCCACAAAAAAAGTTTTCCAAAAGTAGCACGCGCACGTAGCACGCTCAAGGACAACAAATGAAATACCCTTGTTTAACACTACGATCAATTAAATATTTAAAAAAACAGTCTTCACGAATTCCAAATCATAGGAGTATACAGTGCCCTACCATCTATAGGCTAGCCCATATCTTCTAAATATCGATTCACATTCACAATACCAAAATGTAATTTTCGCTCGACAATGCGGAATCCTGGGGCAACTAATATGCTGATATCGTTTTAAATATTTTTAATTTCCCAGACATTTAATCATCTTTTGTTTTTAAATGGAATTATATTACATTTTTCTCGCCAACAATTGATAGATATTATAAAAGAGAAATACAATGATACATCATATGTTAATATTTTGATACTAATTTGAGTGTGTAAATTTAGACTTCCTGAGACGTGATTTTAAATTAAACGAACAATATTTCCTGTAACAGCCCTTGAAACTGTCGCTTTTGGAGAATGTGGCCTTCGCGGCACCGAGACTTACTGGGGGACGGGAGACTGAGCGGTGTGGCAACGGGGGATAGAGGTATATCTACAGCAATCCATGGTCTTGTCACGACGGACACAGGAACAAACATCAATATTAACGGCGATAATGAAAGATTTTTTCCTTTGATTCACCGTGTTGAACCTGTGGTTGAAATTCCCAATCGATGTATAGCGCCACAATACCTTCGATCATCGTCGGTCCTTGCACGTACGACTGCAGACGCGCATTGCTGGGGGACACAGAGCTTAGTAAATTATATATATATATATATATATATATATATATATATATATATATATATATATATATATATATATTTTCTCTTTTGTATTGTTATCTATGTCTTATTTTATTTTTTGTGCATTTACATTGAGAAGTTGAATAACAGCAAATAATAATAATATTAATAATAATAACAATAATAATTACAGTAATAACAATAATAATATTACCTACGTTTCTATAATCGCATGAATTATCTGGAGATATAAAAGTGAAAAATCTTCTACCTTTTATCACCCGGGAGAGGTGGTCAGGGCATCAAGTGATATCACTGCAGTGCTTCTAATGGGGAGGTTCTAAGTTCCTAAGTTCGAGTCCCGACAGTGGCAGGATTTTCGACACTCGCTAGATAGCTATGTTGAATTCGGTCAATGTCAGGAGAATCGGTGTGTTCCGTGGTTTCTCCGATCAATACCAGGCGAACGCCGGAGCAACCGACTGACCGCGCGAGATCTTTCCTTCCTTTTCCTTGTCTTGTCGCCACCCCTTTCTTACAGACACACACACACACGCGCGCACTAACGTGCAATACACTACCGCCCATGCTGGGAGACCGGTGGGGAGCTTAGAGCTCATCCCGACTGGGGCGGTGCCCTGCTGGTGGGAGATACCTGGTTGTGGAAAACCCCGCTAGCCGACGACCTGTAGGTGCCGGATCTCACCCTCTAGCGAGAGAAAATCACCACGACCCCTCGAGGGGAAAACATGCACTACAATTGACCCGCTCATAATCAATAATGAATCAATTCAACATTTAACTTCTTTTCTTTGTATTTAAAATACATTAAAATGCTAGCTTGTTCTTAAAGACATTAGATATCCACCTCGATTTTTGCTATTTTAAAATGACCTTTGTATTTCTTCGTAGGAGGTAGGGTCAAAACGTTCTCAGAATTGGTCATAATAATTTAATTTATTGTACCTTTAATCAAAAAAATATCTTCAAACATTCCCCTCGTGCATTTAAATACTTTCTCCAAAGTTCATATAATTATTGGAAACAGCCCTGAAAGCCATTTCTCGATAGCTCCGTACGCCGCCTGGTCGCATTTTCCGTTACCTCTTCAAAATGAGCGAATCATTGCCCTTTTATTTTCATTTTTAGTCGGGCGAACGGGTAGAAATCGACCGGCGCGGGGTTGGATGAGTAGGGAGGGAGTTCAAGAGTCGTAATTTATGCTTGGTGAGGTGATTTTGCACCAGCAATGATCTATGGGCTTGGGCATTGCCATGGAGTAGGGCCCAATCTTGCCTTCCTATTTTTCTGGGTGTTTCCGGGTTATTGCATCTCGTAGGTGGCGAAGAATTTCCACATAGAAGTTCTTCGTTGACAGTTTGACCTTCTGAAATAGACATTTCGTCCATGGTCATTCTTCTGTTCGCACAGTTGATACGGCGAACATGCTCGATGTTTTTGTCTGTGACGAAGTGGACGAACGGCCGCTGCGCGGGTTATCTTTAGCACTAGCGCGACCGGCACGGAAACACATGCCACTCACACACGTGAGTCTTTTTCATCGCACATCTCCCGAAAGTCAACATATCAAGAGTTTCAGGTGGTCATTTGTTTTGCAGGAGAACCAAACTGATGTTCTCATGCTACGCGATTGTCGTCATTGTAAAATGCGACGAACCAAGAAACTGTCTCAGTTACGTGCGCGGCACAGCTCACTGACACGTCGTCACACGCATCCAGGTAGCTCAGCGGTTTGACAAGGTGTTTCCAACGTGAACAATTGAAATCCCTTCAACAGTTTCTCGTTTGGCAACGCTGTAAGCACCAATTCTGGGAACGTTTTGACTCGCCTTCGTACTATTTTTAATATATTATTATTATTATTATTATTATTATTATTATTATTATTATTATTATTATTATTATTATTGATACCACGAATTTCTTTACATCGTTCATTTCAATGATCGATGTTTTGGAATTTCAATCAGTGAACGAAAAGTTCAATTCTGTTGAATCAATGGAAAAAATATTTTCATTCTGATCATTAATATTGATGTTTCTTCCTATGTTCTTCTAGTGAAGGCCACGGATTGCGGTATTTGCGTTAGTACTCTCATTGCTTACTTTCTCTCTCATAATGTACTTTCCCGGAAACAGCCTTGGCGCCGTGAACCGAAGGCAACCTTCTCCAAAGGCTACAGTTGCAAGGAAATTTTGTCGCTTTAATTTAAAATCATTTGTCAGATGGTATTATTTTTGTGTCAAACTACTGTCAAAATATTACAATAGCAAATGATATCACATTGTATTCCTCTTTTTATGATCTATCTATTGTTAGTGAGTAAAATGTAAGTTGAATTTAAAAAATCAAAGATGATTAAATATATCGAAAAATAAAAATACTGCGAACAAGATCCAGTACACAGCATATTTTGCATTCCCCATAATTCTGCATTGTTGAGCAAAAAGTGCATTTCGATGTCGTGAACCATTTGGAAGATTCGAGGGTTGCTCACAGTTTTGGGGATACAGATGTAGTGTCCTTCATTGACGTCCTTCTCATAGATATCCTTCAAAATTTTCAGAGGCGGAGGCATGGCCCAGTTGTCTACAGAGAGGCAAATTAAAAATACTTATAAAACAATTATTAACTTTTTCTAATGGTGCTGCAGACTGTTCTGGGCGTAAGAACTTGGCGTAAGAACAGTAAGTCAGTCAAAAATAAGGGGTCGAAGGACCAGGTCAGAGCGAGTTTCTTAGGGTGGAAAAATGAACAGATTAGGGAAGGAAGGATGATGTTGTGAAGACACATATACACAGATGCTTGGATCTCGCTGTAAGTGATTGGAGAAAAGAATAGAAGCATATGATTAGCCCTTCCCAGCGTCCTGCTCTAGAATTGTCATCCACAGTGCGGCAGATCTCCTCTTGACTGGGTGTCAGTGAGTCTCTTTGACTAGGAGGTCCTAGTTCGAGTCCGGCGGTTGGCAGGATTTTCGATACTAGTTCTTAGCTAAGTCGGTATTTGCTTGGTTTTCCGATCAACCACCAGGCGAAGTCGGGCAGTACACCTAACAAGCGGGCACGGACGGCGCCGATCTCAACTACCTCTTCCTTGTCCTATCCTTATCCGTTACATACACACACACACACACACACACACACCTCCACTAATACGCTCTACACTACCACATATGCCGGGAGACCCGTCAGGGGCTGAGAGCTTGCCCCCGCTGGTGGGAGATACTTGGTGGGGAAAACGTTGACGACTGTAGGTCAGCGCCGGATCTCGCCATTCAGTGGGAGAAAGATCACCGCCACCTCCAGAGGAAAAACATTCATTACTCTTACGGGAATAATGACCCTAATACTTGACGTGCCCGGAATCACTAAACAATCAATAAAATCTTGACTGAGGGCTAATATCCACCTCGTCGAGACTTCTGGGCTACGAAGTTTCACTTGCCAACGCTGAACCATGTGCTACGACACTTAATAATAAAACAATTAGATAAATGTTTGAATATTTTTTCTTGAGTTCTCCTGGTAATATCAAATGAAATGAGACAGTTTGCAGCCTTGAAAGTACTATGGTTGTTCTAGAATTTAATCCATTACTAAATAAATTAAGTGTAGATGAATTGAAATTTTCTATAAAGTATCTGAAATACTTGAGAGATATTTTCAAGCTCTATGAAATGACGTTCTTATATACTTCTGAGAAAGTTTTTATATGAACAGTTCTGATTTTCTGACAAAAAAAGTTAATTGGTTCTCTCTCACTGACTTGTTGAGACTAAGCATCTACCTTATGTAAAGTGTAACCATCAGAATGATAACATAATGTAATTTTATCTTGTACCTTAAAGTGAAATAGTAATTTAGATTATATTCTGTATCTAGAATATTCTGTATATGATCTACAATTAATACCATCTTAGAACTAAAACTTCCCAAGTTGAAAATGAAATATAATATTATTTATCTATTTAGCTAGAGCCAAAAAAACTGATAGAACCCTGCGCATTGAAATAGAGATTTGTAACCAATCAGAAACAACTGCAACGGTCGGCAACAACTCTGGTACAGTTGTTAGATCGGTTACTGCTGCTACCATGGCAGGATATCACGATTTAAGAGAGTTTGAACGCGGTGTTATAGTCGGCGTAAGAGAGATGCAGAGAAGATAGCATCTCCGAGGTCGCGATGAAATTTGGATTTTCCCGTACGACTATTTCACGTGTGTACCGTGAATATCGGGAATCCGGTATAACATCAAACCTCCGGCTTCGCTGCGGCCGCAAAAAGATTGTGCAAGAACGGGACACGACGTCTGTGGAGAATCATTATATGTGACAGAAATTCAACCCTTCCGCAAATTGCTGCAGATTTCAATGCTAGGCCAAGAACTAGTGTCAGCGTGTGGTGAACCATTCGAAGTGACATTATCGATGTGGGGTTTCGTAGCGGATGGCCCGCTCGTGTACCCTTGATGACTGCACGACACAAAGCTTTACACCTCGCCTGGGCCCGTTAACTCCAACATTGGACTGTCGATGACTGGAAACACGTTGCATGGTCTGACGGGTCTTGTTTCACATTGTTTCGAGTGGATGGACATGTACGAGTTTGGCGACTATCTCAATCCATGGCCCTGCATGTCAAAAGGAAACTGTTTAAGCTGGTGGAAGCTCTGTGATGGTTTGAGGCGTGTGGAATTGGAGTGATATGGGACCCCTGCTTCGTCTAGGTACGACTCTGACAGATGACACTTACTACGTAAGAATCCTGTCAGATCACCTGCACCCATTCATGCCGACGGATTTGGGCAATTCCAGCAGGACAATGCGCTCGCCCTGCACGTCCAGAATTGCTTCAGAGTGGCTACAGGAACACTCTTCTAAATTTAAACACTTCAACTGGCCACCAAAATCCCCAGACATGAACATTATTGCGTATATCAGGGATGCCTTGCAACGTGCTGTTCAGGAGACATCTCCACCCCCTCGTACTATTGGGAGTTTATGGACAGCCCTACACGATTCATAGTGCGAATTACCTCCAGCACTACTTCAGACATGTGTTGAGTCCATGCCACGTCGTGTCTTCGTCGCCATGCTATGTCGCACTTCTACGTGCTCCGGGGGCCCTACACGATATTAGGCAGGTGTTCGAGGGTTTATTTTTCTTTTTCTCTTTGGTGTATCACTGATAACTGAATTTTCTACCTTTTGAAATTACAAAATTTTTTTTTTCTTTAAAATTCTGATTCAAATTGTTTAAGTGTACAAAGGTACCCGAGAGTTCCCCCAAAAACTCAGAATATGAGAAATATTTCTAAAAATACTGTAATTCTATAAATAACCTATCTACATACAGTGATGATAGCGTCAAAAGCTTTAGCCTACCTTGACAAACCCTCATGAAGAAAACGTGTGCTTTGTTTTACAGACATTTTATGTATTTACACTGACATTTCATTATATTAAATGCTTTATTTAGTTAAATAGTTTATCCATTGATCTAAACATACATTTCTAACATCAAGAAGAAAGTACTTTATTAAGAATAATCTTTATTATGGTCCTACTTACAATTTCCATAAATAACACAGATGTCAATTCCACTTAGCTTTAGCTACAATGTTGTCTGTAAGATTCACTTTGCAAAATTCCTTTGAATAAAATGATTGTATTGTTGTTTTCTTTTATAGGTTCTGTGATATGACACTCAAGATGTCTGTTTGATTCAGTCACCCATGGGATTGATATGTTGTTTGATGATCTAAAATGTGGGCAGCAACAGCACCAATGTTACTAGCATTGTTCCTGCACTGTATCTTGGTGCTCTTCACACCAAACCTTGTTGTAGAATCCACAAATCCATCATATTTTAACATTGGAGGAGTGTTAAGTAACAACGACAGCCAATTCTACTTTCAGGAAATTATAGCGGTAATAAATGTATTTAATAAAATAATGAAAGGAAATTGTGAGGAATTCATAAATTGAATATCCTTTATTCACTTGCATTGATCTATCTACCCTATAAAAGTACTCTTACCATAAAATAAATTCAATGTTATTCCCACATCCTATGTAATATGAGAAATATTTTTATTTTAAATATTATTGAAACAGGTTTATTTGTTTTAAAGAATCCCTTTTAGCAATTGATACATTGAAAATGAGGCATCATTAAATTATGTATATTGTTAGGCATTAGTTCAGAATAGTTTACCCTTTTTGCAGAACCTCTCTATTCTAATTCCTTTTCAGAGAATCTTTTCATTTTCCTGTGGGCCCTCTATCCTATTAACCTTGATATTATCAACTGGTGGTTGTGCTCCCTGCAATTTCCTTTCTATTTCTGTTTCCTGTATCTTTCATAGCATTTGTATGTTAAAAGATATTTCTGTTAAATCTGTTGTGTGTATCTATTTCAGCACTTGAATTTTGACAATCAGTATGTCCCACGTGGAGTAACATATTATGCAACTGCCATTCAAATTGATCCCAATCCTATTCGCACAGCTCTGAATGTTTGTAAATACCTCATTAATTCAAGAGTAAGCTTTAACTTTAAAAATTCATTTTCTCCTAACACTTTCCAGTTTGAAATAGCTATAATTTTATACATGATAGATTAATGTAAAATTTGTAACCGTTGCAGGTCTACACTGTAGTGGTTTCCCATCCTCTCACAGGTGACCTCTCACCAGCTGCTGTGTCTTACACCAGTGGGTTTTACCACATTCCTGTCATTGGAATATCTTCCCGTGACTCTGCTTTCTCTGATAAAGTACGTAGAGAGATTGAATTGAAAATACTCTTTTGTAGTGTACTGTATATGGATATTGAAAAAGAATTTTATCAAATATTAAATAAAATTGGACTAGCATGAGTGACATTAGTCCTAATACTTAATTTACAATTTATTTTTAGGTATTTCTTTAATTTTTTAGATTTTTTTAATTATATAATATTTTTTGTGTAAACTGTATGCCATTAGAACACTTGATATGTTTTTTAAAGTTAAATTTTTTCCACTATTGTTAAATATTGATATCTACTTCATAAAAATGAGATTTGTTTACATTTTAAAATTTACAATTAAAAACAGTTATAACTGTGCCCCAATATACAAAGGTGTGAAAGAATAAAGTCTTTATTTACTATCAATTAAAATTAAAGAAAGTAAGGGATTAGCTCTAACTCTCTTCAATTCAGGAAAGTCAGACAAAAATTTGATGTAAGTGGAGGTCATGGGTCCAAAATTATTTGCAATTTTTAAAGAAAGTCTACTTGCAATAGAATTTTCATAACTTAAATAGAACAAAAAGTTTGGCATTTGAAACACAACAAACAAAAACTTCAAAACTTATTACCTGACAGCAGAAAACACCAATACCAAATCCGATTATGATTTAGTAACATATTCATAAAAATTTAAAATATTACAATATGTTTTCCTTTATAAACTTTTTCAGAATATTCATGTTTCATTTCTACGAACTGTTCCACCATATTCTCATCAAGCGGACGTATGGGTAGAACTACTAAAACATCTCAAGTACAGAAAAGTTATATTTATTCACAGTTCTGATACTGATGGTCGTGCTCTGTTAGGAAGGTTTCAAACTACATCACAAAGTTTAGAAGATGATGTAGAAATAAAAGTACAGGTTAGTTTGAAAACTTACTCATCAAAAGCAATCAAATAAACAAAAAAAGATACTTTAATAAACAAAACAAAGATATACTTTTTGGAATACATAAAAATGTTTACAGGTTGAACTTGTCATTGAATTTGAACCAGGCATTGAAACATTTACTGAGCAACTTTTGGAAATGAAGAGTGCTCTTTCTAGAGTGTATCTGATGTATGCTGGGTAAGCATGTTATTAAACTTAATAGCTTCATTTGAAATATATTGTAGTACCATCATTAACTTAATAGTTTTCTGCAGGAAAGCTGATTCAGAAGTAATTTTTCGTGATGCCGAACAACAAAATATGTTAGAGAAAGAATTTGTGTGGATTGTCACAGAACAGTCATTAGAAGCCAACAATGTACCAATTGGAACTCTGGGACTTAAATTGGTGAATGCAACTAGTGAAAAAGCTCACATACAAGACAGCATGTAAGCAGGGAAATTGTACATATTAATGAATAAAATAAAATCAGCATATAATGTTTATGAAGCCTAATTGGACTTACATGTTCTAATACCATTAGAAAGCATTTTTTATGTTATAGTATTCTCCCTATTTATTATTTTAATTATTTATCAAGAAGACATCTCACACTTTGAATTGACCTTAAACAGTCAATTTTCAACATTTGTCCTTATGAATATGAGAATATGAAGTGAAACCTGCCTTAAACGGTCGCAAATGTTTCAGGCCATATTTGGGCGTTTATTGAAGTGGCACTTAATGAAGGTTGTCAATTTACTGGAAAGTTAAAAGTTTGTTAATTGCTATGAAAGGAAGTATCTTCTCCTCAGTAATTTTAATCACCATAATTCACTATGCACAATTTAAACAGGGTAGTATTTAGATCATTTTTCCTCGTCTCAGCTTTTGTCAAAACACACCCTTGACTTTTTGTTCATTCTTGTAGTAAAGAAACTCATTGCATCAAACAAGCAAGCTAACCTTGAAGATACAAAAAATGGCTCATAGGGGAGGTGACAGCTTAATGAAAGTGGCTGTTTGAGCAGGTTTCACCATATCTCTTATTTACTGAAAAGTAGATTATTGAATAAAAAGTATTATTCAATTATAAGTTGTTAAGATAGTTTTCTTGAACTTAATTTTAATCTTTGTGACGCATTATGTTAATTTAGTAATAGGATAAAGTAGGTAAATAAATGGATGCAATTTTCTAGTTATGTTTTGGCTTCTGCACTGCGTGACATGAATCAGACCCAGACTATCACAGAGGCTCCCAAGGACTGTGATGATTCAGGTTCGATATGGGAGACTGGAAAAACATTATTTGAGTAAGAAATTAACTATATTTCATTATTAGTAGTCTTCTCTTTTTGTTTAAAGAATACAAATATTCCAATTGTCATAAAAATGGAAAATTAGGCTCCGTGGTGTTACTTTGTCCCCCCCCAAAATGACTGAACTGTGCACACTACTCACCGATTGCTAAGTGATCATGTAGAACTGACAATTCCACAAGGCCTCACCACTAGTACAATTAGTAACCAGCCTGTCTTCAATTCTATAATTGACACAAAGGTTGGGACAAAGTAGCCTAATCCACAATTTGGACCAAATCATCCATTTTTACAGAAATATAATGGAATTTAGTAATCATTTTCAGATGAATAATTTAAATGAATTCAGTAATAAGGTTCATTTATTTTACTGGTATATTGAATTCTTGGCTATCCGGGAGACGCCGTGTCGTTGGCTGGGGTGCCCCAGCCAACGACGCGGCGTCTCCCGGATAGCCAAGAATTCATGGATTCGAGCCATGGAAGCTTACGTATACATCTTACTGGTATATTTACGAATTTAATACTAAAGTAAATTGTAAGTAAACTTTATATGTATGTTTCCTATCACTCTTTAAAAATTAATTGTTTGTCTAGGTATATAAAAAAGCAAGTTTTAGTAAATGGAGCCACTGGGAAGGTAGCCTTTGATGATAATGGTGATCGTATTAATGCAGAATATGATGTAGTTAATGTTCAAGATAAACAACAACAAGTTTCTGTAGGACAGTACTGTTATCAGCATGTACGTTTTCTTGAATTGTTTCTTGAATTGTTTGAAGTTTTTTGTATTTGATTTTTTCTTATGCAGCCAGAAAATATTTTTTTTGCATTCTAACAAAGAGTTTCTTATTTAGGATCTTGAGCGAATGCGTCTTAAACTTGATGAAAGTGCCATAGTGTGGCCTGGGCGCCGTTCAGGAAAACCAGAAGGAGTGGTCATTCCTACTCATCTAAAAGTTCTGACAATAGAAGAGAAGCCTTTTGTGTATGTTCGCCGTCTTGGGGATGATGAAGAACTTTGTGGACCAGAAGAAATTCTATGTCCACATATCAACGCAACTGAAGAAGGCATGTCACACTTACTTCTATAATTTCCCGCGTGGTTATTTTCTCTTTTTTTTTGTTTTTGTTTGTTTGTTTGTTTTATATTAAATCAGATGTAAAACTATTAATTTATGAATTTTGTTTAAAATAGTATTTTGCTGTCGTGGATTCTGTATGGACCTATTGAAAGAACTTGCAAGAACAATCAATGTTACCTACAATTTAACATTATCACCAGATGGACAATTTGGCAGTTATATAATAAAAAATAGTTCAGGTAATATAAAATGCATTTTTTTTAAATGAATATTTCAGTAATTGCAAACTCATACAAAATATGTTTCAGCTGGTGGGAAGAAAGAATGGACAGGCCTTATAAGGGAGTTAGTGGATGATCGTGCTGATATGATAGTTGCTCCATTGACCATAAATCCAGAAAGAGCTGAATTCATTGAGTTTAGTAAACCATTTAAATATCAAGGAATCACAATTCTTGAAAAGAAGGTAACTGCTGTGGAAAAATTGATATATAGCTACATTTAATTAAGACCATTTTGTTGAAAACATTTTTGTTTCAGCCTTCACGTTCTTCAACATTGGTATCATTTTTACAACCTTTTAGCAACACTTTATGGATTTTGGTTATGGTATCTGTGCATGTCGTGGCACTAGTTCTTTATTTATTGGATAGATTTTCACCTTTTGGACGTTTCAAACTTGCAAACACTGATGGAACTGAAGAAGACGCTTTAAATCTTTCCAGTGCCATTTGGTTTGCATGGGGAGTGTTGCTGAATAGTGGTATAGGAGAAGGTAAAAGAAAATAAATGAAAAATAAATAAGAATTCACTAGAATGTGACAAAACTATTAAACTCTTCTAAAAATGTATACATCAATGAATATATAGAGATGAGAGCCAAATTATTTTCTTTGAAATGAATAAACATATAGAAATGTCAGTTCAGTGTATTTCCTTCCTGTAATTGATGTTATACTTTGATGCCTCATTTCTCAACTTTGGGTGTCTCATTGTCTTCACATAAAAATTCCATAGTGAAATGTGTCATGCAACTTATTATGTGTTTTAACAGGAACACCTAGAAGTTTCTCTGCCAGAGTTCTTGGAATGGTTTGGGCTGGTTTTGCTATGATCATTGTAGCTTCATATACTGCCAATTTGGCAGCTTTCTTAGTGCTCGAAAGACCCAAAACAAAACTAACAGGAATTAATGATGCCCGAGTAAGTTGAATAACTGGAACATATCATATATACAGAGTCAAATAAATAGTATAAATTTTATTATTGATAAACTAAATCTACGGAGATTTAAACAAAACGTTTAAATAATAAAATTATGATAAATAACTTTTACTGATTAATTTCCTTCCAGATTCCAAATTATTTTTCAAAACATAGTAAGAAACATTATTTTGTGTCCCACATCCCCGTATGCTTTTATGTATTTTGAATCCTTCATATGCAGAATTTTCAAATGTAGAAGCAATAAATTATCATACAAATAAATAGTTATGTTAAACAATTGAATAATATAATATTAATTTCCTTGTAATCATTTCTTTGTGTTAATGAAGAAATGAAGAGAGTGAAGACGACAGTAATAATATTATGATATCATTCCAATAGTCAGTTTCTCAAATATCTTTATCCAACCAGTAAATTTTTTCAATGACATTGTATTGCTGTGTTTTAACATAGTATTTGATCGCTTCATCTGATGGGTTTTAGAATCTTAAGGTCCATCATATCAAGAAACTTGTTTTAAAAAACAAAATTTTTAAGTGATTATTTTGTTATGCCCTTAATGAACAGCTAGTATTTAAATAGAATGATGTGTTCAGATGAAAATGACAAAAGAAATTGTTACAATATGAACCATGTGACACACTAGTCACAGTTTTGTGTCTTCAATTCTCTGATCATAACATGAAATGATTCAACAACTAGAACCCTTAATGATGTTACATTCAAAAAAATATTTTATTTATTATTGAGAGATGAGTTTTCATGTTTACTCTTTCTCTTGAAGTTTCATGTTTTTTAATCAAGAAACAAAACTCTTCAAAAAACTGAAAAGTATTTCTTAATGAATCCTGCTAATAAAAAATGTTTAAATTGACCAGAAGAATAAAATAAAGAAGAAAGTAATAAAATATTTTTCAGATAAAATATTGATACCAATACATCTGCAAGATTGTATTTATTTGTTCTTATGTTTCGTTGGCTACTTTTATGTTTCCATATGCATTTTCATCCATGTTATATTAGTTTATTCTTTTATATTCATCCAGATACCCTAGTTGACATCTTGTTTTGCCTAATGATTAAATCAGCCCTCTACCTGGAAGGAAAGCATTATTTATTGCCTACAACATTGTGAAATATGAAATGAAAGATTGATGGTATAAGGAAGTCAATACGGACACATTTTTCTAGTTACGAAATACAATGGAAAATTTGACATGTGCAACAGTCAAAGGATCAGCAGTAGATATGTATTTTCGCCGACAAGTTGAACTTTCAAATATGTATCGAACAATGGAGGCAAATAATTATGATACTGCTGAAGATGCGATACGAGATGTAAAACAAGGGTAAGAAAGTAAGATTTGTTTCAAAGATTGTGTTATGTTTATCTCTTGATTTTAAATTTTAAAAATTACCTTTTACAGTAAACTTATGGCCTTCATCTGGGATAGCTCTAGACTAGAATTTGAGGCTGCACAAGACTGTGAATTAGTCACAGCAGGAGAACTGTTTGGCAGATCTGGATATGGAATAGGTCTCAAGAAAGGATCACCCTGGGCCGACATTGTCACTCTTGCCATTCTAGATTTTCATGAAAGTATGAATAATATTCCCTATTATGTTTATAATGATAAACATCTGGAATATAATATTTTTAAAAAAATTTATATTCAAATATTTTCAACATCAGCCTATGAATTTTTACAAAGTAGATATACTACTGTGTTTTCAGACTATTTCAACTATTTACCTCATTCACGAACGCATGCATATTTTCTCAGTAGTAATTATTTTAAAACTTCACATTTCTTTTAAATAAAAAATCAAGTGAGGAATGTTTTTATTACCTATTTCTTTATATTAATTATTAATTTAATGTACAAGTTTTCTCATTATTCACATTTTCCTCACATTTTGAGTACTAATATTGTCATATTAATTTGTTACAAAATTGTACAGGTGGATTCATGGAAAGTTTGGACAACAAATGGATTCTTCAAGGGAATGTACAACAGTGTGAACAATTTGAGAAAACTCCCAATACTTTGGGTTTAAAAAATATGGCTGGTGTATTTATTCTTGTAGCAGCAGGTATAGTGGGTGGAATTGGTCTTATTATTATTGAAATGGCATACAAGAAACATCAAATACGTAAGCAAAAAAGAATGGAATTGGCACGTCATGCAGCAGATAAATGGCGAGGGGCTATTGAGGTAAATAATAATTTTTTCGCTATGCATATTTTCTTTAAATATAGTTTTAAAATTCTTAATAAAATTAAAATCTTCATTCATTATCAAAAATATTAATTTATTAACCATTATAAATTAAAATTATCAGTCAAACAAATTCTGTGAAATGTAGTTTTAATACATAAAATTTGGACAAAAATTTCTTAATACTTATAACTGTATTTTAGAAACGTAAAACACTTCGAGCTACTATTGCCGCCCAAAGAAGACTAAAAGCAAATGGAGTCAACGATCCTGCTACTGTGTCTTTGTCAGTTGATGCCTTGCCCCGTCAGTGTCTTGAGCCTCGCAGTCCAGCGCGTGCATGGCCAGGAGGATGTGATGTTAGACAGAGAACTGCAAGAACTGATGAAATTCGTATAGCAACAACAACTCAAAGTAATCCTGCATATGGTTCAAATCTCCCTGATATGATAGTTTAGCAATAAGTTATTAATACGCTTTAAGAGTGTATGTTGAAAGAAGAAACAATTGTGTTCTTCATATTTTAACTAATGGTAAAAAGCACATAAAATAATATCCCTGTTCTGTTGATGTAAATTAATAATGTTTATCCAAGTTGCAAAGTATTGTGTGTGTTATAATAGTTCATAATTTTATTGCATGTTTTTAGAGTATGAAATATTTATTGTAAGTTCATATTGGATATAAAGCAGAGGTTTGATGTTTGTAAAACAAATATGTTTGATAGATGATTTATTTCTTACCAATATTTCCACTTACAAGAAATTGATAGATTACATGGAATCATCCCATTGCATCCACAGAAGAGAATGGTGTTCAAATGTATTCAATAAGCAGACATGTTAAAAATAAATTTCGAAATGATGATCTCAAAAGTTGTTCTTTCTAATAACCAATCTCCCTTTAGGATATTGTGAGGTTTTTGAGATCCTGAAAAAATAAACTAAATTTAAGAGAGCAGAAGGTACATAGCCATTGTTGAGAAGTTCGTGAAATTTTAAATTACTGTACAGAATGTGAAGTACTGACATTTATGATGTTAATGTAATGAGTATTGCTGCCATCTGGCTCTCATGAAAAAATCAGAACTGAAATGTCTGTCTAAAGGTTTTGGGTAATGCAGTTCAAGTTTGTTATATTGACAATAGTAGGGTTTTCTAAAATATTATTCTCATTAACTCTTCCTCCCTATTGGCAAGGTTTTTGTTCATGAAATCAGAGGTGGGATTTTGGATCTTGTAAGGGGCAAAGGGTCTTCCCATGTAAGATGCTAAAAAGTTCCCCTAAATCAAATGGCATGAGTAGTTACACTATAATTAACATAAAAATAGAATTTTTGAAAGGTTTTCAAAAAAGGTTGCAAAGCAGATTACTGGTCATTAATGCATAAAAAAGGTATCTCCCTTTCAGTGTGGCACAGCCCCTGCTGGACAAGTTCCAAGTGCCCGCCGGGTCTCCGGACATGTGTGGTAGTTGTGCTTGTAAGTGCAAGTGTGTGTATGTGTGTTAGCTCGTAAGAAGAGAGGATGAGGAAGGAAAGATTGTGCGCGATCCGTGGCCCATTTGTTAGGGTACTGCTCCGGCATTCGCCTGGTGTTGATTGGAGAAACTCACGGAAAACTAGCAGTGTGCATTTGGCCGCAAGAATTCTCCTCCAGACAGAGGCTGGATTCAATCTAGATATATAGCTAGTATCAGAAACCCGCCACTGTTGGGAATCGTGGGAACACCGGTCTGAGACGCTGAAGCAGCAACGGTTGTTGACATTACCCATCTCAACCGACCCCATCGTTCGTGTAGATACGGGCGTGTGCGTACTGTGCCCCTAATATCCGATTTAGCGGACGCGCGCATGCTTCCAGCCACTTTGCCGCCTCGTAAGCCTCAAGGTGTATGCGCACGTTGTCTTATTTGATTGATTGATTGATTGATTAGTGATTTCGGGATCAACGACGGTCATGAGTCCCGTAAGTGTAATGCATGTTTTTATCGCGGGAGGTGGCGGTGGTCTTCCCTAGCTGGATCGCGATATCAGGTGCCAACCCGACGTCGCCTTGCTGGGATTTCCCTCAACTAGGTATCTCCCACCAACGGGGCACCGCTCCTGCCGGGACAAGCTCTAATCTCCCGACCGAACTCCCGGCATGTCTGGTAGTGTAGTGCATGTAAGTGCAAGTGTGTAAGTAAGGGGTGACGATAGGACGAAGAAGAGGAAGAGGAAGGAAAAATCGCGCGCGATCTGTGGAACATTTGTTAAGGTTCCACTGCGGCATTCGCCTGGTGTTGATCTGAGAAAGTATGGAAAACTACCGATCAGAGCAGCCAGCCGCTAGAATTCTCCTCCAGACAGCTGTTGAGTTCGACCTAGCTATGGAGCTAGTGTCGAAAATTTTGCCGCCGTAGAAACTCAAACTGTAGGGCTGCCCGGTGGCAGATAACATCCGTTAGTTGAT